TATTTTATACTTGTTAGTACACACTTGATTCTCCCTCTACAAAACGTTGTGGTGATGTTTAATTTAATTATTTTGATGTGACGAAGAGATTGTTTGGAATGAAAGCGAAAACAAGCCAGTAGTAACCTCTGGGAAGGCGAGATGAGGTGCCCATAGCTACATCTGGTAGAATTTATCAGCCTGCTTCCACCTTGAGTAATTAATGCCCTGTCATGAAAGAATAAGCCTATCGTACCTCTCAAAGTCCCAAGTGTGATAATTTAACGTTTCAGGTGACTGCTGGCGATTTTTCCTCTGCTGATGAAGATGTTTCTGGTGGATTTTCATGTACTACTGCTGCCCAGGTAACCTTTCCTAATGGGTTTTGACGAACACTTTTTGCTAAATCCATAACCTGTATTATAATCAAATCAAGAAAGAATCGGCTATCAAATGACTTACTGTAGTTTACCGAGTATCTTTGATTTTTTGTGTAATATTAATCACCTCTGAGAGGAGATGAGGCGACTATAGCCACATCAATTACAATTTTCCAGCCTGCTGCACCTTAAGTAATTAATGTTTGTCATTAATGAATGAACGACACGTACCTGTTGAAGTTCCGAAGGTGATAATTCAACGTTTCAGGTGACTGCTGTTGACTTTTCCTCTGCCGATGAAGATGTTCTTGGTGGAATTTTATGTACAACTGCTGCTCAGGTAAATTTCATGGGTATTGACGAACAGTTTTTCTTCCTCCCATATCTTGTATGTTAATCAAAACAGGAGAAGTTTATAATCGATAGCTTACTGTGAATTACCTACTGCGAATTATGTGGCTATAAAGTTTCTGTGGAAATTTTAGAAGATCTTCAGAATTTGGTTAATTTCGTGTCCTGCTGTCGAGATTTATGTTGCCTAGTTACCTTACGTGGCCTACTCTATGTTATTTAAGGATGAAATGTTTTACACCCCGCCAAGTAGCCAGCAGATCAACTTTGCCAAATCAGCCTTTTCTCCTGAACTGGGCTCATATTCTTCAACTATTGATCCGACTACAGTTTGTGTTTAATTTATCCTTTTTTGAGCTACTTTTCACAGAAGTATTAATAAATATTCTTTCGAGGATTCCTACACAACGTTCTCAGCAAGTGATTTTTCTTGTGATGAATTTTCCGAAGAGGAACGCCGATCACCTCCGCTAGTTCGAAGATTTTCGAATAGTATGAAAATGCAGGGTCAGCCACGCGAACATGGAACAGTTGCCGTGCCGTCGTCTTCCGTTCCTAATATGGTAGTTCTCACTTAAACTGACTTCGTTTTTGGGTTGGAGTAACCTCTGGCAGTTTTGGACCGAGGAAAAGGAGGCGGTGTTTCAGCGTTTTTGGCAATACCGCTTTTTTAGTTGCATTTGTGTTTGCACCTTTTTTTTGCTCTTTGAATATTAGCCTCATAATGGAATCCTCTTCAACGAGATGGACGGTATTCTATCTGTCCGCGTTCTAAGAGTTTCTGGGGATGACCTTTTCTGGTTCTGACATTTTTTTGACTACTTCCAGCTGAGTGTAAGTAGTTCGATTCCAGAGAGACTACGAGCTTGCTCTGCCCCACGAAGATCTGGCCTTTGAGTCGATGCCCTTTGTAATTGCCAGCTTTCAAACCTAGTTTTATATAAGAGTCAATCCAATGTATCTTGAGATTTCTACATTTCGAGAAAGAACGAGGGATTGACAAAAGAGTGTAGAACTTTGATTATACTGCGCTCTGTTTAAGTTTATCTAAACTATTGTTATTAGCATTCCTAATATTTGATGTTGATATTTTTAGGCTCACAACTTCGAGCGGGTCGACGAGTTCTCTGACTAGACCACCGGGTTTTTCAAAATCTCTACGTTATCAAAGGCCTAGCCCTTGTAACAGGTTCTTTCTATGCTTATGAGTGAGATCGTTCACATACAAAGATTTCAGCAGTCGAAATTCGTTCGTCTTCATTAGCTAACTGAATTTTGCTTCTTGTTTTTATGACAACGATTATTTGCTTTTTCACGATGAGAGGTATACTCATTTGTAGTAGAGCAGCATGTAATTGATAAGCTTCATATGGTACCGTGAGTTTATCGTTGACGACCTCTTCTGTGATCTACTGGGTCAACACTC